AAATAATACTATAGTAAATAAATTTAGTTTCTATTGCTTTAAAATTTTTAGTGTACTGTTTAGTAAAATAAGTTAGGGTATTATAAATATAATATAAATATAATTAAATCGAAAGCCATATCGGCAATGCTGATAAATACTTAAAAGTACTGATAGTAGTCTTAAAGATTACTAATTTTCTTGAAATATAGAATGATTAGTATGTCTATCGTGAAATTTAAAAGCTTATCGATTTATTTAATATTTTCTATATTTAAATTTATAATAGTTCTGATAGGTATCCTATACTAGCCAAATCTCTGTTTGAAATCGAAAACATATCGGTTAATTATAGAACATAAATATCAGTATAATGACAGTATGCTTTAGGATATATATCATGTCCTATTGGTATGCTGATATTGGCCCAATATGGCTTAGTTCGATCTGTGAGATGGTAAACTACTAATTGTTAGTGAATTGAGAAATTCTGTAAAGTACATATCTTCATGAGCTGGATTATATATAGAAGAGCTTTGATCTAAAGCATCTGCACTATAGTAAGTTTTGGCTTCTTCTAAAAATTACAAAAAAAATTTAGTATTAAGCATATCAATATCAGAATTACATGGTACAAGGATGTTTCTTTTGACAATATATGTTGGGTCCTGTGTTTGTGTCTGCAAAGCAGGTAAATGAAGTTAATTACTTTTGTGATGATTCATTATGCATGACAATACTTAGAGGAAGATTTAAATAACTACTATGTGGTACTACTTTAGTTATTTAACCTTCACCAATCAGTAAAAGCCAGTCTGCAAACTCCCTCTGTGTAATAGTATTTGATACATCTGAAGTATTTAAAGCAGTATGTAAGCATATGTTGATTGTTAACTTTCTTACTCTAACATACTGCTATAAGTGTGAACAACAAAAACTAGTATTAACAATATCTTCACATCTGCCTCTTGGAATAACTAGAAAAATCTGCCAAAAATTGCCACCAAAAACAAATACTTTCCCACCAAATGATATGTTTTCAAAGTTCAAATTAACAGAGCTTATAATATCTCTTAAAGTATGATCAATGGCCTCAAAAGTATAGCAATATATCATTGGAGCTTTGTTTCAAATTATGAGAGTTGTTTGCCTTAGAAGCTCTGCAAGATCAAAATTCACAGAAATATTGCAAGTAGAATTTTTATCTGGGTCAATAGGGATTTTAAACTGAAAATATATCATATGACTTCTATCAAGCAATAGAGCAGCAATTTTAGATGAAGTGACTGCTAATGCAATTCTTCGAGTTAAGCAAACTTTTACTAATAGGTTGTTATAAAGAAATATTTTGCTGGTTCTTGCAGATCTGTCAATAAAAAGCAAACAGAATTGTTATTTTCAACAGCTTGAATAATTTTATTAAAGATAGCCAATTAATTTTTATTTAAATGGTTTGTATTTTGCTTAACAAATTCTGTAAATGTATCTATATTATAATTTAACTCTTTATTTATTAATAAATTTTTAAATTCTCTAAATTCTCGAACAGAATCAATATA